GATTTACGAGACCAAACGAGACAGTTTTTAGATGAAACTGCGGAACAGCAAAAGCTACTTCGGTGGCTTTTTCACTTTACGTTCAGCGATTAATTTCTACGTGTGCAGAGCGAAAGGTCGCCGCTTGGCAAAGTGTTCGAAAAGGAACATGATGAAAGCATGCCAGAATGATGTTTTTCCAACTTCGAGCTCACATATACGCTTTCTTGGTTGAGGGCTACTGCCACCCAAGCACCAGATGACGAATTACGGTGACGGACAGTTACGGATGACTGCGAAACAGATCGAAGTTCTGTGAGTTCTGTTCTCTGCAACTACTCGATACCCTGTTGAGTTGTCATCAACCCTGAAATTGACGACAAATCTGGTCATTGTGGCAAAGTCTGATCAGATCCGTAGCTCGTTTCTGCCCTTAACATGAGTGTGTTTTGTTCTGAATCAAAAATAGACAAATGATAGGGAAATTTAGCTTTCCGACCAAAAAGTCTATACTTCATCGCATTTGCTGAATTTTATGTGGCATAGGTGAGTTGAGCCCTTCTGTAAGTACACTAATATAAAATAATGCAAAATTTATACGCCCAGTATTGGTATTGTTCTTCATCAGTTTATAAGGCGCACTTCCGGTCGCAGTGTCGCTTATCCTAGTTATTTCAAAAATATGTTGGGCTATGTGCAACAGCTTGAATCAGATAGAAAATCTGCTGGTTTCATGGTTGACCCAACCTTTCAGCCGCTGTCGTAACATCGCATTCATCATTCATAATCATCATCGGCTTTTTCTTGTAGATTGATGTATGAAGACGATTTCAGCACTTGCCACAAAATTCTTCTTCCGCAATTCTGATCCACTTTGCTCAACATGTTTCTTCGGCTCATACTGCTATTAATTTGGAAGTGTTCCCATGGACCGTTTATTGTTTTTTGAAACGCAGTCATCTCTTTGGTCAAGCAATGGTTGATTCTTTTTACAACGTGTCCCGCCCACTGCCAATGTATCTTCAACACCTGGTTTTTCCACGGGTATCTTGATTGTAATTTTCTATACTAAAGTAGATTTCTCTGTATGATGATGTATTTTAAATATTAAAGCCACATTCGCAGACATCGATCTCTCTATGGATGGAAAGCGGGTTTCGTCACCTGACAGCTTTCTTGCGCAGCACAGCTGCGAAAACCAGCCTCTGCTATAAGGCCCAGAGATCAAAAGTTATAAGGAACCCATCCGTTACAGGCGATCTGCAAATAAAACACAGAGACAGAATTCTAAAGCAGGTTGAGTGGTTTGATTTAAGTGTCTCAGCTCCATCATCGGCACCATAAAATCATAGCTGAACAGGCGGCTCGACATTGTCCTGGCGCTTTTGGTAACCTGCCAAATATTTGGGCAGAAGAAAGATCATATCTCTCGAGTAATATCCGTCTGTGCCTTGTTTCGGTCAAGTATCTCTGTTGTACGGCATGGAGATAACTGTTCTAATGAAAAAGCAAAAATGGCGGTTAGTGCTGTGTACAGCAGTGATGGCATCGATGCAACATGAGGATTGAATGTCAGGACCGTTTAAGGAATGACTTTACTCTCTTCCAATCAGAATTGACTTCGATTCGTTCGTTGAGCGTTCGTGCGCTGGACTGTTTCTTTGCTTGCGCTCAATCCTTTTTTACATGAAGCACCTTTTGAGTTGCTCATTAGATTTGCAACATGTTATATAATACTGTATTTCTCTAGTCTATTTTGGAATCTTAGCAGGAGGTGATTTGGCACTGCTGCAACGATGAATTACAGTAATTGTTTAATCTAAAAGATTGCATTAACGTCTTATGGCTAAGACCATTGTGTAGGCTGTTTATAGCAGTCCTGTGTCTTTTACTGAACGGATATTGCAAAATACCACTTCCCAGTTTCACACAGTTAATAGCCTGCGAGTCTCAGATTTCCGGTACCCCTACAAACTTCATCCACCCGAAAACGAGAATTGAGCCGTACAGATAACCAGTAGTAATGCACTTAATTTCTACCGTAATGACTTCTCTTGTCCTGTCTTACAAAGTCGTTTCTTGCTTGTCTCGCTGTCGTACGCTGTGTATATGCTGGTACTGCAGTCAAAAAGAAACATTCTCTTGCATGACATTAATAACTACTGAATACTAATAGTAGATGCGAAGATATAGAAAAGGTGATTGGCCCCAGTTTGGTTAGACAAACCGGTTTGGCATAATCATAAATTGTTTATTTATTTCAGCCCTCGATTTTCTCATATGGCATCCGAAACCAGGATGAACAAGTTAGAGGCAGATCTGCTTTCTGACAGCAATTGCTCCTTCTGCAATGCATGACTGGTGCCTTATAAGAAAAGTATCGAAAAACTGAGAACGCCGCGAACTTCATAAATCAGAGTCTATTCGATCGATCTTAAGGGAATGTCATATACTTTGAAATATAATATTTACACCAGTCCAAGGCTGTAATCCAGCTAATAATAGGATGCGTTATAGTTGTTGATGATACTTCCACCACCACTCACGTGGTTAGAAATGGCCGAGGTCATCTATCTTTAAGGACAGAACGTTATAACGTGCATGTTTATAAGCTTGGGCACGGGAATTGTTCGGAATTATCAGATTTTGACCATTTCAGTGAGAGTGTAATATTTTCTCCATTTCCTCGTATGAACTGTAATTTAAACATATTTTCTGCCTGCCTTGTCCATGAGTTATTCTTTTTTCAGAAGGTAGACGATACAGCGAAAATTTTGCATTTTATTTTGGGATTAATAATGACGTACTCGATTGTCAGCTTTGGGACATCCCATAAATCGAAGTAAGTCCATAATCGAATGGATGGAGAATAAATTACATTGGAATGAGGGGATGTTATATTCAGAGAAACGTAATACTCATTATTGGTATCAGATTTTATAATGTGTAGCCGCACCAGTTTATTTCTTCATATATTAGGATATAGCTAGGGCTATGATCGGTTCTTCTCTGATGCAGGAAGAGAAGCTCTGGTCAGAGACGTGTATCATTGTCCCGCATGATACTGTAACAAGTACTCTCTACTTTCTTTAAGGCACATAATTCGCAAATGTAATTCAGAGGGCAGTTAGCCGAAATATATAGTAGCGTAGTAGGTTTGTACCGATCGAATGTGGAAAGTTAAGAAACAGTTTGGATGTTATACCCAAGTAGAATAATCGCTTCAGATTTGATGAAATGGTGAGGTGGGTGAATGATGACAAACTAGCGATGAAAAGCAACCGGTGAGATAGGATCACAACCCCGTCTATCCCTCATAAAATAACCGTTGCCGTGACGAACAGCACCTAGGCTAAGAACCTTTGGTCGAACCGGTTTACTGACGAGAGTAAACACCGCAGCTTAAGGCGATATGAATCTGGTGTTAAGCATCACATCCGTTCTCTCTCCAGTTTCGACCAGAGCGAAAACCTTCGTGATGCGTGAGGCTACGCCTGGGTTAATAATAAGACAGCTGACTGTGGCAGTTTAGTGATAATGATGGCGATCACGATGGTAATTATGGTGAATATGACCATAATTAAATACAGTACCGTTGATTCATCTCAAATACGCTGTTATACTTAACATATATAGCCAGAAATTCGACCGGCCTTAAGTGTTTTGCCCGCAAATACCTTAGTTAGCCTCCACTGCCCTGTTCGGCATGACTACTGTATCGTCAGCAATCCCGTTATTCTGTGCATCAGCTCTAACTGTGCTCAGAAGGTACAGTAAATAATTTTAAGATAAATTACAGGAAGTGGATCCATATTGAACTACCACGAAAGAATGAATTTAAACGTCTGAATTTGTTAGCTTCTAGATGTTTGATCTGTCTTGGCATGATAGCTTGAATACTAGCTCTTCGTAGCGAAAGAATAGTACATAGTGTATCTGCATGGCAGTTGGTGACACCAAGGTCTTCGCTTGTTTCTCTTCAGTGAGACTTATGTTACTAATTACCGGAAACACAGCGGGTCTCGTTAATTATCCTATCCTATGAGGCAAATGTCAGATCATCGCTGATCTTGGCGAATCATGGAACATGTAACTGATAGAGATATATTCTCGGTGATGGGCTATCCTGTTAATTTTCCACTCGCTGTTTAATGGAATCTGTTTCAACGGGAACCTAATTAGTGAGTTTTCCTAACCTATTTGATAGACGTGGACTTGGCTGAGTACTCAATGCATCATGACAGATGTACGCAGGCCGATGTGCGTCTCGTTTAGCACAACGAACGGCGTCGAAATAAAGAAAGGCTGGCTCGAAAGCGTCTTACACACGTGCTTCTTACCTTTTGCACAACCAGCGGTTCGTTGAAGTCACGTCCCCCGCGCAGCCTGAAGCCCCAAGGACTGGAAAGGCTGTCGCGGTGTATTTCGACGGACGTCAGCTGGCCTCTTAGCTGTCGAGGGTTACTCATCGTCGTTGTCGTCGTCGTCGTCGTCGTTGTTGATGTCTTGATGCTCGTACGCAGTTTTAGCAGCCTTTCGTCGTAACTCCTCAGCCGCTGCACTCACATGCCACAACAGAAAGGCGGCGGTGATCACTCGCCGTCAAGTGCTGCGCTGCCTGCTTCTGTTTCCGTGCCTCCTTCTCTTCTTCAGCCTCCTCTGCCTCCTTTGCTGCCTCTCTTACTGCGATGG